GTTTTTTTTTTTTTTTTTTCTTGTTCTCGAAGCTGGATCTCGTCCACGACTCAAATGCACATGATGAACGACTGCAAAGGCGACTCGTTGACGGAGCAGAGGATACAGAGCAAAATAACCACGGTGGTCCTGGCGATATTTTTCGTCTCCTTGTTGGGCGTTGGAATGGGTCAGACGGCGGTCTACACCCTCGGTATCCCTTACATCGATGACAATGTGGCCAGCAGAGAAAGCCCGCTCTATTTCGGTGAGAATACGAATTCCTCCCCCTTCTACCGTTTCTATTATATCGCGAAGAAAAGGGGACAAACCGGGGAGGGGGAGGGAGGGGAAGGGGGAGCAAAACAGGGTTCGAGAAAGCTTTGCTTTCGTGCGACTCGAAAGAGTCTCTTTGCCGAGGGGGCCATACCAAGATCTTTCACTTCGATTATTTTGATTCATTGTTGCGTTATCGTGCGGAATTTCAATGTTACGTCGAGAATTTGCATACTCACGGGACACGTTGTCCCCGTACTTTGTTGCAGCGATCACGATCGGAGTGAGGATCCTCGGTCCAGCCCTGGGCTTCATTCTGGGCTCGTTGTGCACCATGATTTACGCGGATTTGTCGGCGAATCCGCAAATCACGCCGACGGATCCGAGATGGGTCGGGGCATGGTGGCTTGGTAAATTGATATTTCTCGTTCTTATTACTTATCTTATACGTCTATTCAAATATTATTCAATTCCTTCCTTCCTTCCTTTTCTCTGTGAAAGTTTTTTTTTTCCCCCTCCTATTACACCTTCTTCGAAATCTCGAGATCTCGCAAATTGATTGCGAGATTGGAGGAAAAACGATGGAATGTTTCAGGTTTGGTGCTGATAGCCGCCATGCTGATGTTGGTAAGCATAGGAATGTTCGCGTTCCCGACGCGGTTGCCCGCGAGCAGGACACCGCCGAAACGGGCCGACGCGAAAAAGCCTAGTCTCCGAGGTAAGCGCTCGATTTATCGCGGCGACGCGAATTGTTCGTTTAAGCGTCCTACCACCACCGCATCGGATCACAGCGATTTAATTCGATTTTACGGCTTCCCCTCCCGCTCTTCTCTACCCTCCCCGCTTGAAAATTGGCCGGGGAGAGATCGAACGGACGAGATAAAAGTATCATCGCCCCGAAACCGTCTATTAATCGCGACCCCCTCCTCCGCAAGCGTGCACATCCGGCTCGATTCTATCCCCGATCCAACCTTTCGAATTTGCTTCAACGTTTCGAGCAGATGAAACGAGATCACGAAGATCGAGGGTAACAAGATTATCTTTATTGTCTAATTTTTAATTATTACATAATGTCGGGGATTTTGTTTGTTCTCTGTTTATTCATTTTCGCGCGATCGATCGATCGATCGATCGTCGATACGTGCATCGCCGATACATTTACGTTCGCGACCCAATACGAATATTTTTATTTGTCGGATTGTCGGATTGGCGTGGAGAGGAGGAACAGTGGGGCCATTATGTATTCGGTGGACGTTTATCGGGAGGAAAAGACTTGGGCCAATAAGATGATCTTTGAAGCGTGAACTTGGCAGTCAAGGTCAATGGCGAAATTTAGAGAGAGCCGGCCGGCGTGTCTGTCTGCTCGTTCGATCGTGAGCGCTCGCCCCGCTGCTTTCTGAAACACGGTCGAGCCCTTTTCTGGGAACCCTTTCCGCCTAGGATTGCAGGGCGAGCGAGAGTTCGTTGCGTTTATTCTCTATTCCGCTTCGTTGAAACTTTCCTTCGTGAAACATCTGTGCCTTTCCTCGAGGAGGAGATCGGATGGAAACAGAGAAAATGTAAATTCGATCAATTCAATTTGTTTCAAAGAAAAAAAAAAAAAACGATTAACGAGAAGGAAATTCCATAAACGTAACGATCTTTCTCTATACTTTTTCGCCCTTGACCGACAATGTTTCGGAACGTTGTTCCTGAAAGAGGCCTGTTCAAAATGCGGCACGAGTCGCATCGATAATGCAACTTGGACGTCCCACTGTACCACGTGCGCTTCTCAGCATCGTAGGTACTTAAAAATAACTCCCCCTCCCTCTTATATATATATAATAATTATCCACCTTATAACCCCCGAAAGAAGACGAACCTCGTTAAATTAAAACTCGCTCGGAGGAAACGTTTAAATTCAACGTCCGTGAATCCGTGATCGCGTGAAAAGGGACGTACGTGATGCATTCTCCCGTAATTCCTTCAAAAATCCAATTCGGCTAATGGTAGCGAAATTGGGAAGCAAATTGCTCTGTATTTTCGCCGTGGACCGAAAATCGAGTCCGTGCATCCGGCCAACCAGCAGGATAATTTCCCCGCGGGGTCGTGGATCACGCGAGGAGGAAGAGGAGGAGGAGGAGGAGGAGATTTAAAGAAGGAGCGAGAGAGAGAGAGAGAGAGAGAGAGAGAGAGAGAGAGAGAGAGAGAAAGAGAGGAGGGTAGGTATGGCGCGCATTTCTGGTGCGTTAGGTCGGTCGTGTTATGTCGAGGTGCACGAGACAGCTGAGATAAGTCCTCTCCCCGCAAGAAGAACAAATCCACGCGCGGGCAAGGAAGAACAGGGCCGTATACGCACGCAGAAATGCACACGCGCGCGCGTGTGCCTACCGAGCGCTATGCACGACGCATGACCGTGAACTTGCCCCACCTAGTGCACCAGTCGGTCAGTCATCATTATTAACGCACACACGGGGCCCGCAGCGTTCACACACGCGCGCACGCGCGCGCACAGGCGCACGCACACACCGACGAACGCCGATCCTTTACTCCTACGTGCACATGGCACACCGGAGAGACGAGAAATCCGGATACGTTTCGAGCCATTCGAAACTCGAATTTTTCCCGATAATTTCCATACGAAATCGTGCGAAGAATTAATGCTTCCCGCTGTTTGAAACTTTGCCCCTCCCCCCCCTTCCCTCGGGGAAGGGGGAAGTCACGGAATTTTGGAACGAGCAGCGAGTTTTCGAAACGGAATTCTATCCGTGTACGAAGGGACGATACACGGGGATATCGTGAACACGTTAGAAATTTGCGCGCGTGTTTATAAGGAGAAGATGGTAGAAAAGATCGCCTCGGAGGAGAGGACGGAATTGGACGGATGCACGCGATTCTCGTATTACTCGGTTCGTCAGCCCCCTTTGAAGACTTCATTCTTTCAACTTTATATAACCCGCTCGATATCGATCGTATCTCGATAAATCTCTATTTATCTCTTATCGTTTGTCGTTTATTTCATCCCGTACGAGATATATATATATATATATATATTTATATATACGTCTTTCTCGATCGATGATTTTCGTGCGAATTTCTTTTCTCTCGCGGTTTATTTTTTGGCGCTGATCCGGAGGAGGTTTGGAGGAGGTTTTCGCGATTCGAAGCCACCCTGTATGTGGCCGGTGCAGGGTTGTCGCGATAATACACGGAGCGCAATGTTAGTCACGTTTGTCTACTCATGGTCTGCAGGACTTCTCTATGCGGGGTTGCCACGACTCTAGCCCGGCCTTCCTGGAAGCCTAGAGCAGTCCTAGGCATCCTTAATGTCAGTTTCCACCGAGGGTTTCTCGAACAGAAACCTCGCACGAACGAACGCCTCATCGTACATCTCGTTCCTCTCTTCTCGTTTCTTTTTCCGCTCCTTCCCCTTCCCACTCCTCTTCCCTCCCTTCCGTCCCATGCAGGAATTCGCCTTTTTTGCCATTGCTCGAAAATCGATGCGCCGCGTCCTCTTTCCTCTTTATCATTTCACCCATACGCAATTTCCAATTCGATTCGACGATCCCCGACGAAATTAAACGTTCTCGTTCGAGTATTCATTGATCAACGGATTCTAAATTCGTGTAAAAGTAGATCGTCGTCCATTTTTCTATACTCGTTAAAGTTTTGCATAAAGAGAGAGAAAAAGAGAGAGAGATTAAATTTGATGATACGAATAATTCTAACGAAGATACGCTTATTTGCTGTCCACCGTTCCATCGATGGATATATATCGATTATCTCGAAACTCGAACAAACGATCGAGAATTATTATTTTTCTTTTTTTTTAAAGAATTCCGCGAAACTTTTATCGGTCCGCGTTTTTCTCGCGCCGGTGCAAGTATCGACGCTTCCTTTTTCTCATCCGTTTCTCGTTTTTCGAGCTGGAGGCGATTGCACGCTGCAATCCCTGCTCCCTTACTCGCGCTCTCCTTTTGCTTCGTCGTTTCGCCTTCGAAAATAGAACGAGGGGAAACTCGATCGTCTGGTAATTAGCTCGTCGTTCGTAATTGATTTCATAAATATAGAAGAAAATCCGTGGTTTCGTTCGCGATCGCGTTCACCTTTGGATACCTAATTTCGAGGAAAGAATGGGAAAGGAGGGGGAGAATAAAAAGTTAGCCGAGGATAAAAAGAAATTAAATATTTATTTCCTCGAAATTCTTCGCCGCTCTTTTTTCTTTCTTTTTTTTTTTTTATTCGTATATTCGCGACAAGGACAAAAGTTGGAAGTGAAAAAAAGTTGATGAATTATTTTCTCGACTTTTAAGGAATGATCTTCGGAGGTAAAAAAAATAAAAAAAAAAAGAAAAGAAAAGAAAGAGAGAGAGAGAAAGAGAGAGAGAGAGAGAGAAAAAAGGGACGAGACAAAGAGGATCGGGGAGGCAAAAAAAAAAAGAGGAGGAATAAATTTCATGTAAATGGTTTCGCTGCAGGTCGCGATGCACGGCTCGCGTCGCCTGCACGACTCGATGCACTCGCTACACCTCGCCTTCTCTCTACCTGTTGCAGACTTCCCTAAAGCGGTGAAGAGGCTGTTGAAGAACGACATTCTTATGTTCCGGACGGCCAGCAGCGTGCTGCACATCCTACCGATCGCCGGCCTCTACACCTTCCTGCCAAAGTACCTCGAGAGCCAATTTCGCTTGCCAGCTCATCATGCGAACATGATCTCAGGTAATTTTCGCCAATAGACACGCGAGCAAACTTTCTCGCCCCGATCCTCCTCCCTCTCCTCTTTTTTTCTTCCCCTAACATATTTCGATCCTTCCAATCTTTTTCTTTCTCTCTTTCTTTCTCTCTTTCTCTCTTGAATCGAGAGAAAAGAAAAAGAAAAACAGAGAAGGAGAGACGCCCCGCTTTATCCGAAATTTCTCGAAATTTAAATCCGAGACAAAGAAACAAGAAACTACAGAAGGGCGATATGACGATTTTGACTTCTCTCTTCGCAGGTGTCGGTGGTATTTTAGTAATGGGTTTGGGTATTATAATTAGCGGAGTGTTTATCCTGAGGGCAAAGCCTAACGCCAGGTTCGTCGCAGCCTGGATCGCCTTCACAGCTGTAATATACGCGATCGGGATGGGTGTGCTGATGTTCATCGGTTGCCCTATGGACGATTTCGCCGGTCTAGTTTCTCATTCTGACGGGTAAGTATTTTTACTACCATAATACCGATCCATCGTTCGATCGCGTAAAGCCGTTGTTAAAAGTTTCGAGTCAATTCCTTTTCCTTTGATAGAAGATAGAAAAGGAAAAGGGAGGAGAAAAAAGAAAAATGACGAACGACAACGAATAAATCTTTCTAGATTGTCCAGCTTCGAGCCGACCTGCGAGGCTACCTGCGACTGCGTTCGGAACAAGTTCAGTCCGATTTGCGGTGCCGATGGTAAAACTTATTTTTCCGCGTGTCACGCGGGCTGCTCCAATTACACGATCGTCGATGGCAAAGTTGCATCGGTGAGTACCACGGACATTATCTCGAGATCTTCTCGGGATATCCGTTACGGGGAGGAAAAGAAAAAAAAAAAAAAAAAGGAGAACACTTTTCGATACACTACTCGCGATTGGTTCCAACAATTTAAGAACGCGTAAAACTCGATGCGAAATTTCATCGATTTCATCGTTTCATTGTCGATTTGTTTACCACGTTACTCCGTGATTCGAATCGAATAATCGTTTTCGCTGTTTCTCGCGCGTACAATCCTCTGATAGCGCGGACTCACTGACGTCATCGCGAAAGAGAGAATATCGATATATATATATGATGCTCGATCGGGAAATAGACTCGATCGTAATTATCGGTGACAGTGGCATGCAACTAGGCCAGAAATGTGCCGTTTGCTCCGACCATTTGCGAAGGAAATCGCATTATTCGAACGAAACAATGCTTCATTGATTGCGCAACCAAGCAAGTCATTAGTTTCGCAATTGAAATATTCGCCTTATCGCGAACATTTCAATTTCCAATTGTTCGGATTTCGCGGGGATTAAACGAAATAAATGCACGCACGTAAATGTACGTACGCGTCGGGCAAAGCGTGTACCCAAAGAGGTATATTGTGCACTCCATCCAAATTTTCTCGCTTTCTTCGCATCGAAGATGGCGCGTTTTTTTTTTTTTTTTAACCTGCCTATTCGAGACGCGATACATCGATCGTGTCGAAACGTGTCGAATAACCGACGTGTAAAAATCCATCGCAGGATTCTCACGCACGAATTCTCTGTATAGCGGCGGAGGAGACGTGACATGGTAGTTGCATCGAGTGTACAAAAAAAAAAAAAAAAAAAGAAAGAAAACACTCTCGATCGGCACACCTTAACAACGCCTGTTTCGCGATTTTTTACAGTTTTACAACTGCCAGTGTATCGGGTCGAATCTGACAACACCGGAAACGGCGAGCACCGCGACGATCGGTTACTGCGAGCTCGAGTGCAGTAACTTTTGGGTTTATATGGTCCTGTTCTCGGTGTTCGTTTTCATACACTCGACCAGCGAGGTGGGCTCCATGCTGTTGATCCTCAGGTGCGTGGATCCACGGGACAAGGCGATGGCTTTGGGCCTCATACAATTCGCCATCGGCCTCTTCGGTAATTATTATGCCTTCCGTCTTATCCTCCCTTCCCCTATCTATCCGTCTATCGTGATCCACGATCCGTAACGAGGATCGTGGATCGAAATCTTCCATTTCCCCTCGACGATGGAATCGGAAGGGAGAACTTCGTAAATGAATTTATCAGGCGGATGATCCGTTGGTCGGTTGGTTCCAGGTAACGTCCCGTGTCCAATCGTTTATGGTGCTGTGGTGGACTCCGCTTGTCTCGTATGGGAATACGCTTGCGGCGAGCGAGGTGCCTGCTGGCTTTACGACTCGAATGTCTTTAGAATGTTCTATCATGGTACGTACCGCGGTTAAGAAGAAATCTGCGGCGAGGAGAAGTCGGAAATATCTGCATCTCGATTATCCGACTTACTACTGCTCGCTCTTGCCTGTCTATTATACATATATATATATAATATACCGAGGCTAAATTTCTCTTCTCCGATATTATTTATATCTTCGAAGAGATGAATCGTTCCCAAGATGGATACGTTGTTATTAGAAATTTATAACCTCTTCACGATTGTTATATATATATATATCTAATTATATAATTTCTCGATCTATCTTTCAACCGATAATCGTTTCACGGATTGTCCAGGTACCACGGGTGGAATCTTGATTCTCGCTTTCGTGGTGGACATAGTGGTGTGGTACAAGGCCGGGAGCATCAGCTTCGTGGAGGAGCAGGAAGCGGAAGAGGGCACGGTTGAGGAGATGGCCACCCTGAAGTCGCAGGATGCGCAGGCGGTGGACAACGACTATTTGTGAAAGGGTCCCGGCCGACTTCGATGGTATCTCATGAAGCGCAGGCCTGAATATAGCGTCGTAAAAAGCGGGACAAAGCGTAACGAGGCGTTCCTAACTGACGAGAACTCGGTGCCAGTAGCTTGAGACCGGTCGGTCGACGGTCGATCTTCGCGTGTCCACGTTTTTGGGGGAGGAGAAGGTTCCTTTCTTTTTTTTTTTTTTTTATGGAAATCCACCAACCAAAAAGGGGAAAACCACCCCGGTTGTCCCTTTAGCGACGAAGCGAGGAGGAGCGAGAAGGGAATAAGCGAGAATCGAAGACGAGTCCAGGACGATCGGGACGATGACGGATTGTTGGAGGAGGCGGCGCCAAGTCCTTCGTGGAAACGTTTCGTAATTTCCACGGAAAGGTTGTGCCGCGATTTCGAATCGTATTGTACGGGGAAGGAAAAGAAGAAGAGATATAACGTTAAGGCGAACGGATCGATAATCAACGATTTTGATTTTTCTTTGAGCGGTACACGGTATATATATATATATATATATTGGAGATGCGAATGACGGAGAAGATGTCTTCCGGAGATTGGCATCGAGGAACAACGATTTGAAATGTAAGAGAAACGAAGTACACGGCGAGGAAGGAGGAAGGAGGAAGTATGGAGACGCGAGATGGTACGACATGATTTTTGTAGGGGAAAAGAAGGGGGAGGAAAAATTGGAAAACGATGATCGACACGGAAATGCGAAACGCACCAGCGTGTATTCTCTCGGCACGCGAGATTCTCGGATCTTGGGCGAGCTTCTCTTAGGCACTACCGTCCGTGTTTCATTCTGCATATACACCTAGGCGTAGGCAACCTGTACAAGCGATTTACAGATGTGTGCATGCGTGTCGGTAATAATTCGTTTTGTTGTTCGCAAAAAGAAGAAGAAAAAAAAAAAATGAACAATGAATGGAAGATCATAAGGGTATAATTATTAGAGAGGAAAGGAGGAGAGAATCTGAGAGCGAATGGGGAAAATAAGAAGAGAAATACATAGGACATATTTTTAGACGATTTGACGATGAAAAAGTCGAGAGATAAAAAGAGGGATGGAGGAGGAGGAAAGGAGAGAAAAGTAACGTTAAATATTGATACGACGATACACGTACAGGGAGAAAATATGGAAGCCAGGGGAAAAAAGCGGGGATGAATAAAACAAAAAGAGAAAAGGAAAGGGAAGTGGAAGGAAAAAATAAGAAAGAGAAATTACAAAATTAGGAAGAAAAAGAAGAAATGAAAAGATTGAACAGCTGTATTTTAATACGATACACTTTACACTCTCGTGGGACACTTGTCGATGTATGCGCGTCTGCCGCCTGTGCTTTTAGTGCTTTGAGCGTTCATCGTTTTTTGAATCCTGTTGAATGGCTGATTACGTCAAACCGTTAAACCATCTTTGCCCGATATATCTCTTTTTATTAAATTTTAAACGATTACATTTTAATGATCTGGAAACCGAATTAATTTTTAATCGAGGTAGGATATATATATATTTTCTAAATCGACAAGTAAGTAAATAAAATAAATTGCTTACGCGAATTTTATAATCAAAGAGAGTTAGATGGACGATCGCTACCTTGTGTAATGCGAAACACAAGAGAAAGGAAAGAAAGTTATTATTCCGGAGAAGGAAGAAAGAAGGAAGAAAGTGAAAAAATTAAAAGTGTTTAGGATTATGCGTTAACCGCTATGAAATTCGCGAATTATTCGATTCAGGGGCATTGCTAATATATTACACGTCGTTTTGAGTTTGCCTCGAAGAACATTTGGCTAAAAGATAATTAAATTAAGATTAATTAAACGAAAAATTCTAAATTTCCTTATCCGACTTGATTAAAAATTATATCTTTGAAGAATTTTAATTTTGGATTTCGAAAGACTCTTGAAATCGTATTTTTTATTATGCTCCAATAGAAAAAACGACATTATACAAGAGCCAATTGTTTCTTCGAAATTCCAAAAGAAAAAAAAAAAAAAAAGATAAATATATATATACATATACATACATATATAACATATATAATAACATCAGCTCTAAACGAGCTTTCAGATTAATAAACGATCTACTGCCAGTCCAGAAGCCATCATGATCATTTTGACACGACAAGAGGAGTATCGCGTATAGCTGTTTTGTTTCTCCAATATTCTATCATTTATTTAGAGAAATATCAAGAGGAAAAGAGGAAAAAAAAAAAAACAAAAACAGAATTTAGAATTTCTTCTGGATTATGGTAGGACGTAATATTTATCCCTTTCATTGTTAAGGGTAGTTTCTCATGTTTGGCGCAGGATAAACCACCCACGCATCGAAGGGGTTGAACGAGTTACACATACACACATATATATATATATATATACACATTGTATGTATCGTGTGTGTACGTATGAGTGCGTGTACAGTCGTACAAGTAAATCATTGACGATGCAATTGAGAAAGGATTGCACAGGGGCGGATACGGCCTTCCGTGCGCCCGTTGATCTCCATCGAGAATTGTATTTTTGTATTTCGAAGCGACACATAATCTATATTTTAATCGATCACAAATCGTATATATATACATATATATATATATATATAAAACCGCACGTAATTAACATAGAGCCAATTCCCACCCTTTGACGCGATTCATTTCTCGAGTATCAGTTCTCGACTCGTGTATCATCGTTCGGTTCGATTCATCGATTCAACGATTTTCCATTCTATTTTTCGCTCGTCCACCTCTCGATGGAGGAACGAAAATGAAAATGTGAACGATCCCAGGGTGTATTTTCGTTTTCTTCTTTCTTCGTGTCAACACCATCGCCATATTTCTGTAAAATTAAATCGCGATACTTCTCGCTACGATCGACGATATATATATATATATATATATATATATATATAATCGATCGTGACACCGAGCTCTTGAACGGGGAGCAGCCGATGAGATAACGAGCGATGACAATATTTTTGCAAGGAAAAAATTAGGATTGCTCTGGATATCTGCTTTACAACATGCTGCTCGTGTTCTGCTTATCGGAGCGAGGTTTATCGCGTGGGATGATAAAAATCGAGAAGAAGGTGTTTATTATAGTTTTATTATTAATACATATAATATATTATATTATATATAACGGGAAACGAGAGATATCTACGTACAATTCAATCAAGATAATCGTTTCACTTGCGAGACATAGTCCGGATGGATGAAGTGGACGCGTTTTAACCCTCGTCTTGGCAGAAGAGTTTTCGAGAGTCTCTCTTAGAATTGCGAAGCTATTTTAAAAGTTCCAAGATTTATCCTCCCCCCACGAAACACGTAGACGTTTAATAGATTATTAGAGTGTTTGCATGCAGTTTTACGCGCAGAATTCACGCATGTTGCCTGGTGCAACTTTGCCAAGGGGAAGGGTCGAAATCTACGTCCTCCATCGTTGCGACTGTTAACAAATTCCCCTAGGTTTTTTTTTTTTCGAAGCAGAGTCGATTCGTCGTCTCTCGATGATGATATTTAATCGATGTCAAACTTTTAAACACGGCCTTTGTTATATCGAAGACGAACGGACAAGAGTATTTTGACGATCGAAGCCGTGTGTGTTTCACAAATTTTATACCCGTTCGAATTATTTTTAATCGCATTTTTTTTCTTTTTTATCCTTTCTCCAACGAACGAATCCATCGCAGACATATTTTTCTTGCGAACAAATCTGAAACAATGATGACGACGACACACGCGTCCACATTCTCGTGAAGAAATCGGAAAAAAGCCGAAAAACGCAATTTGAGTTATTTGAATTTCACGATAAAACGATTTGGCGAGGATAAATGCGATTATGTAAATGAGCACGATTTAATTTTTTGAACGCATCACGAACGTGTGAGGGTGAAAGTGAATCTACGAAAGAATTTTATTCTGTCTTATTTCGTTTCCTTTTCGGGATGGGTACGAGAAGGGAGGGGAGAGTTAGACCTCGATGAATGGTGTGTACTTGTGCGTTTGCCTTTCAGTGCTCGATATATACATTACTGTATATTATGTGTACGATAGAGCTGTACATATAGGAAAGTACAATAATTGCTAAAATAATCATGGCGTGGAGCGACAGAGTCTCAATCTTTATTCCGTGTGTTGCGCCAGTCAGTTTATCCAAGATAGGCGAATGATTCTTTGCAAAATTACGATCCAATTTTATCTTAAATTAACATTTGATATCGATGAAGATTTTAAATACAGCGAGATCGAGAATTTTTATTCTGATCGTACCCCTCGCCCCTCGAATCATTCGTCCATCGTCAATAGAAAGTGCTAATTGCGTCACTGTGAGAATTAACGATGACAATGATGACACACGAACAATGGAAACACTGCCCTCTTACTTGCTACTACTACTACTACTACTACTGCCATTATCAATGAAAACATCCGTTTCGATGAACTATCAATTGAATCAACTGCCAAGATTTTACCAAATATATAATATTCGTAATAATATTCTTCACGATAATCACGTCCAAGAATCACGCTCAAGATACATTGGCCTTGGGAAACGTCGAAACCTAGGGCCTAGAACTTGTTTCTCTGAAAGAAATAAATTTCATGCGGTGACTTTATTCCTGCATTTATTTCGATTACTCAACTTTTGCTTAATTCGAAAAGAGTACTTTTTTTTTTTTTCTTTTTTTAACGATGAATAATATAAATTGCAAAACGTTCCATTTCTCACATCGATCGCCTTTTTCTCAGCATTTATTATTAACGAATTACGTATTGAAGTTAAATTGTAACGTTGTACATCGTTGCCTGTAATCTTCACAGTTTCGTCGAATAGACTAACACAGTTTTATTTAAGAGGGTAAAAGAATAAAAAGAAAAAAAAAGGAAAATGAAAGGATCACTGGCGGAACACAGAATACCAATAATAATTATATTTTAGTAAAAAAAAGAATTTATCAGTAATATACTTGTAGGATAATCGGCCGCGAGAGCGGACACTACGGTTTTACCTAATTACGATGTAGTTCTATAAGAGAACCATAATTGCTAGTCTTTAATTTCCGACGTGCTCGCGTGTACTTGCACGTCATTGCGGAGTATATAATGGATGTTTTAAGAATCCCTCTGTCAGAGCAACTTTATCATTCTGCGAACGAATTTTTATATTTTATTTCTTTCTTTCTTTCTTTCTTTCTTTCTTTTTAATCTCTTCAGTCATTTTAATCGTGCTTCTAATTATTCTTTGCCTAATATTTCAATCGTTCTTTTTTCTTACGACAAATCTTCGAATCTCATCGTTAGATCAAGATCTCTATATTTTTAATGAATAAAATTGTATTATATACCATACCGAATAAAAATTCGTTTGTTTCTCTTCTTTCAAAAAACCTTCGTGTCGCGAAAAATGTTAAAGTTGCCTCCGACATTCTAACTATTCACGTAACGTATATACGTGTGTGTATCAGGCGTGTGTAAGGAAGAATTAAAAATTTAATAATAAACGAAGAGCAGGGAATATGATAAACGACGAATAAGAAGAGGAGGAAGAAGAAGAAGAAGAAGAAGAAGAAGAAGAAAAAGAAGAAAAGAAGAATATAATGCCATTTTTATGTATACATATATTGTACTAATGATTATTATAAATTTTTTTTTTTTTTTGTTTTATTAATATTATCCTTACTACTACTACTATTACTACTACTACTATTATTACTATGATTTATCGTCATCGGATATCGATCCTTGTTTATCGAATAATTGCTATTAATTGATAATTCGCGATCGGTCGCGAATCACCGTTGTAATATGCGCTTTGATTTTTATACATAATATATATCTATATATTATATATATATATATATTATATAGAAAGAAAAAAAAACGGATTACTCTAGTAGAGGACGTAAGTGTATTTTGATATAGTGCACGATGCCGTATATGAGTGGGTGCGTGTATCCGTGTATGCGTTTAATTGTGACATGAATTCTACATGTGCCCGGCCCTCAATCGTCGGGCATACGCAGAATAATTTCTTTAAATTATGTACGTCTGTTTTTATCCTTTGTTTTTTCCTTTGTGCTTATTTTTTTTTTTTTTTTTTTTTTTCTTTTAGCTAGATATCACATAGTACATGCAGTTACTTTTCCATCGAGACGATCGGCATTTCGCGTATCGTTCGTAAAAAATAATTGAAATAATATTGAAATAGAAAATTATTTTCTCGTGTTGATTACTCATTTCTAGTTATTTTTTTTTCTTTTTCTTTTTTTCAATAATTTTCATTTCTAACTTCGAATCTTTACATTTTGCATATTCGAAACAAATCTAATTTCCTTTTCTTTTTTTTTTTTTTTTTTTTTCTTTTCGATTAATTAATCTAGTTTCAAAATTTTCACGAGAATGATGCGCGATATTCCGTTCGTCGACAACACGATTCCTCTTGGAAGATGTAACACGCGTCTCAATCAAGACTGTAAATAGCAAATAGCAGGCGTTCGATGGACCTCCACCTTAAGGTTCCCACATTTAACTCCCGACGTTTAAGTGCCTAAAAAAGAACAAAAAAAAAAAAAAAAAGAAAGAAAGAAAGAAAGAAAAAAAAAGAAAGAAAGAAAGAAAGAAACCGGAAGAAAAAAATCCTCCTCGAACCTTTGTTGTCTAGTTTCTAGAAGTGGGTAAGATACTATTTTGACGGCTGGAAGTCACCGCGAGTTGATATTAGGAATTTCAAAGGGCTAAATATAACCGTTTCAAGAGTGCTGCAACACACACACACACACACACACACACACACATTCTTTCTCTTCGTCGTAGAATCTCTTGGAGCTAGTAAAAAAGGAAAAAGAAAAAAAAAACACTCTAAATAAGTAGTAAAGCTACCAGTAGCGGAGAAGAATAAATAGATAAAAACAGGCAAAAATAAAAAAGAAGAAAAAAAATGGAAAAAAATACAGTATAAAAAGGAAAATATATTTACGAGATGATCAATGTTTAAAAAAATAATAATAATAATAAAAAAGTTATTACAAGATAAAGAAACGTTTAAACGAGAATTATAAATGCAAAAACACGTAGAGACGATGAGGAAAAATAAGAAACAGAGAGAGAGAGAGAGAGAGAGAGAGAGAGAGAGAGAGAGAGGTAGAGAAAACGTCATTCCCACTTTGATGAATTAATATACGTATGATATATATATATATACAAATATATGTTATACATATGTACGTAAAAGACGAAATAGTATTTTATCTGACTGCTAGTTTCACGTCATAGTGAATGGATAAAATGTCATTCGACACACCCTCAGCAGATCTCAGCACTCTGACGAAACGAACGTGGATCGTTTATTTTTTATTCGCGCATAAAAGTCCCGATCGTTTCCGTGGAGCGCGTTTACGAACACCGGTGTTCACAGGGTACATCGGAAATCGGGATTCACGACTATATATAATATACGTAAGGTTCACAATGTTTAAAATAATAATAATAATATGTATTATTACATTCTTCGGGCGGATATCGGATTTTTTCGAATAAACTTATCAACGATTCCTTTTCTTTTTTTTTTTTTTTTTTTTTTTTTTTTTCTTTTTTTTCTTGTACAAGCGTTTCGAATCGCGATAATGTCCGGGATAAAAAATATATTGTACAATTGTTAGAGCACAAAGAATCGATGTACAAACGCGTTTTGAAGCTAAATTGAAATAATTTCTTCCCCTTCGCCTTCCTCCTCCTTCTTTGACCAGCGGATAATCTCTTTTCTAAATTTTTTCTCTTCTGTATTTAGAAGAGATAAAATTATTCGTTAAAAATCCGATCGCCTTCGGTACAATTGAATCTTTTAACCCCTGTTCCAGTGATTTATATCGTACAAAGAAGCCGCAATCGATTCGCGATGCAACCTGTGAACGCGCGAGCGCGTGCGTGTATATTAATTATTACAGAATATATATATAACAGAGTATATATATATATTATATATATAAATAAACGAAGAAGAAGAAGAGATATATATACACACAAAAGAAAAAAGGTACACGAGTGTATCCGTGTGAACAATGAAAAGATGGAACCTTGAGGTCGCGGCACGGGTCCCTGAAGTACCGGAAGTACCGCGACGACGAGAGCCGATATTTTGTTGCGCGTGCAGAGAAGTCAATTTTTTCGATTTACAAAATAAAAGAAGAAACCCCTTTGCATCACTGTAACATACCTCTAGAACGTTTCATAGTTTAAATTAGCCTTCGGGTTATCGATCGAAGATCGAGCACGTTCGATCGAATATTTTTCAAGGTTAAGGTCGAGATCGAAGGTGGAAGGAACGAATATATAATGATAGATAAGTTAAGAAAAGAAAAAAAAAAAAGAAGAAAAAAAAGGAAAAAAAGAAAAAGAAAAAGAAAAATAGGAAAAATCGAAGAGTGATTGAAATCGATGCTTGGTAATCCGAGGGTTAAGACTGATTCAGCAAACACGCTATAAGAAAACCAGATCGAGCGTATTTTGTAATTATGCTATTATTATTATATTATATTATATTATATTATATTATATTATATTATATTATATTATATTATATTATTATTATATTATTATTATTAATATTATTATTGTTTGTAATTACGATTACTATCGAATTTGTTTTTAATAAACGGCAGGTGCCATGATTACAAATCCTTTGAGTGCATTTTAATATCTTGGCTACAATTAATTAACCTCTATTATCTTTTTCCAGCGAAACATCCTTCCCCGGATCCATCGCCATATTCACTTCACGACTTTAACGTGGCAAGGATAGAAGCACAATTCTCCTCCGTGGATAGACACTGGCCAAAAGCTTCCAACAGCAATGGCTCCTCCGTTACACCCAATTTGTAATCCTGAAATGATATTTTCCCATCCCGATCCACGTCGAGTTTCTTCAACGCCAGCTCGGACAAATCTTTCACCGCCTCGTCAGGATCCTCTTCTCCCGGTTGCTTTATCAAACAATTCCTACCCGCATACAAATACTTGTTAATTATTATTCACTTCGTTCGAAAAGTAAGTGAATTTTAAATACCAAAAAAAAAAAAAAAAAAAATTTACATCTTACTTGAACAATTGAAATATTTCATCCTTCGTAATGAATCCATCGTTGTTCAAGTCGTACACTTTGAAACAAAATTCAATTTTCTCCCGTAGGCTGCCCCGAAGATACAGATCCAGACCCATGATCCATGGTTCCAATCTAATTATTCCCTCGTTCTCACGATCCCAGCAACAGAATATACGCTCCACCAACGTGTCCTCCGTGATCACTTTGAACGTGTTGTGCAATAACTCGCGAAAGATGGTTCTGTCGATACCCTGACAAACATTTATTTCTTTCGTAATCGAGTAAATATCAGACTCAAAAATATTTCTCTTATCTCATCTTATCGTAATTATATATACAGATTGAAACGAAAGCACGAGAAGAATCGGATAGGAATTGCACGACAATTTAAAAGAAAATGACAGACTTACGCAGACAACAGTTAATCCCTACAATTCTAATGTCGCTACCTCTGTAATTTGATTCGGTTGAGACCTCCTCCCGATAATAACCGATTGCCCTACTTGTTGCTGCCCTGGATTGATTAACTTCTTGTACAGTTTGCACAGATTATCCAATTCGGACCTATAACAAAAAAGAATATTAAAGTACGTACGAAAATTTATCATATTATATATATAAAAAAAAAAAGAAAATCATCTTGAAAGGAAATCATCGAATCACGAATTATTTATTATTCTTTGCATCTATTTTTTCGATCTTCCAAAGAATTCTGCGCCGCGCGTCTTCTTCTTTTAGNGAAAAAAAAAAAAAAAAAGGAAGAAAAGAAATATTCGAAAAAGAAGATTTCTTTCGCGTGGAAAGATCGGTCGATTGCCGACCCGCACGATAAACCATAAGCACGAAACAATGACAAATCGATTTCCACTCGCCACGAGAATCTAGTTTTCCTCTTCAACGACTCGATCAGCTTGACCGTGTACCCGGAGGTTCTTGCCGTGGCGGGCACCGGCATTCTCCTACGATGCCTCCTCCTGGGCTCGTGCTTTGGGCTGGCTGAGCCGCTCGTCTGCCTGTTGCTGTTCACCGATGCTTTACGACCGCTCATCAAGAAGATCGAGACACTTTTCATGAACGTCGCGCCGCCACGAAGGTTGACGGCGCCTTGTCTGTCGGCGCCGACGCCGACGTCGACGCTCACGCCGCTCCCGCGTTCCATTCGAGGTTTCGCGCTCGGCGAGAGGCTGCGTTCCCCGGACATCCGTCTGAAATTCTCGAACTGAGTCAGTATTCGGAATCGGGAAGATCGGCCAGTTCGCCCCGATCCGTTCGTTCTCAACGTCCTGTCGTATAATTGTTACAAACGTATTTCTCTTCTCTTCAGATGAAGATGGAAAGAAAAATTCTTCCCTCTTTCGAAACACTCGTTTCCGGTAAGTTGTGCATGCGATCCGATTCATATCCTCGATTTTGCAATTTTTTTTTTCCCTTCCTTTTTCTTACTTAAAAGCGCGCGTTCTGTTTTTTTTTTCTCTCTCTCTTTCGAGAAATAATTAATCGTTACGAATTTCGTGTTAAGAGTTTGAAGAAAATTCCTAGCTTGTCCTAATTCTTAGAAAGAGTGAGAGAGAGAAAAAAAGAGAGAGAGAGAGAGAGATTAGCGTGATCGGTGTGTTGATTGATTTGTTGGCGGAGAGCATGTTAGAAAATGTGTTTTCCTTGGCTCTAATTATAGGCAGGGAGAAGGGTGAATGCAAATTGATCGCGCCAAGACGATAGAAGCTATGGTTACGGATCGATTGATCAATAACACGCAACGATTTCATCGTTTTTCATTAGAAACCGAATCCGATGGTTATTGTGCTTCCTTCGAGTCTCTCGCGTGCCTTCACGCGATTCCACTGTAATCTAGGTTCGATCGAACGCATTTAAGGACAATTTGCTCGTCAAATGTAAATATCGTGCAATTTGGGAAATTGAAATTTCCTTCCTTCCTTCCTTATCCGATTATACTTATCTCCTTGTCTCATCGCGATACGATCCATTCGTATAAAAATTTGCATGAGAATTTGGATAAGTGGTTTTAAATATACTTTTTATTTATTTCTTTCTTTTTTCTATTTAAATTCGAGAGAAAATTTGCATATAAGCAAATTACTTCGTGCAACTATTTCGTGCAACATCAGATTTGAGTTGAGCTAGAAAAACTTTGTAAAGAGAAAAAAAGTGAAGAAAGAAAACATAAAAAAAATTCTTACTACGAGATCGTAAGCGAGGCAGGAATACAATAGTTGTTTCCTAATTGTATCGCTGCATGCCTGGTTACATAGTGCCTGGCATGCACTAATAAGCGAGAAATCAATTTTCAAGAATAATAATTTCCAATATAGTCGTTCCCAGAGTCGTGAAATTTTTCTTACGCCTCTAACTTTGCGTCACTCGTTCAATAGTCTCGATCTAGTATTTTGCTCGTATACGTAATTCATTTTTGATTTAAGATCTTTCAATTCAATTTGAGAAAACGACTGGAGTAGAGCTTAGCTTAGGAATAGTTTATAGTCGCAATAAAACGATAACAAATTAGGCCTATCATATCCTATGCCTCGCATAGGGTAATATAAAATGTATTAAACGTTGATACGTTGCACGTCGCGATGATTGTAATTTCCTGCATCGCCAGCCACGATTGCATCACTGGGCAGGCGCTGTTAAATTAAGCGAGAAAATTGCTTCAATTCTTGATGACGTATCATTGAAGGAAAGCGCGTTTTATCGCGTCTAACGGTAGAGCATAATGGATACCTCGAAGTGAATCGAATTAACTAATTTGAATTCAGATATCATAGGTGCAATTTCACACCAGATTAGATCGCGTCACGATAACAAACACCGTTGACTTTGAGCTCTCGGTTTAATTTCCTCAAGTTTGCATATGCACGCGATTCATGAATCATGCGAGTAGTTTCAACTATTGTTATTGCTAAGAAAAAGGAAAAAAAAAAAGAAGAAAGAAAGAAAAACGAGTAGAACAATAAATTTTCGAACACTGGTTTCAGAATTATATAGAGCACATAATTCGTGAATATTATCTTCAGACCTTTTTTTTTTTTTTTTTTATTTTCAAAAGAATATTCATCTATACGTTTTATTACCCTCATTGAAGATATTTATCTATAAAAATTTTGTAACAAAGTGCCGTCACGAAAGACACGATATATTTTACTCGAACCTTATTCGAACCTTATCTCGATTCAAAAAGGAAAGATAAGATTTTCTTTTGAGTTTAATCCTTTTCGATTATATTTATTTGGCTTCTTTTTGCAACTATATAACGATTGGATTAATAATAAACTTACCCCACAAGGAGAAGGAAACGACTTCGAGACGGTTTCTTTCTAGTTGCCACCAGTTACCTAACGGAATTGATCAAACTTTCTGCGAACGATAGCAAAATAGTTGTTTCGCTCCATCACGATTCTAAAGGTGGATGATTTTCTCAACATTCCGTTAAAATAGCGATTCGATTCTTCTCGCGCAAACTTATCCTCGAATTCAATCGATTATTTGGATGATGACAGTTTTCTTGAATTAAAAAATAATTCGAGACAACGAATGTCGCATAATGAATATAAATTTGGAAACGAGAAATGTGTTGGCTAGATCGATAGCGGAAGATACGCGGCAAGTTTGAATATTGCCACTTTGATTCAATATAAGGAAAAAGATAACACGATTTCGATGCTATATGGCAATATAAAAAAAAAAAAAAGATAGCTATCTTTTTTCTCAACACTTTTATTGAAAATATTGACATTTCGATTTTATAAAACATCGTCGAATTGTTATAAAATTATCTTTTTTACGAAGAGATATCGAGGCGATCGCAATTATTTTTTTTTTTTTTTTTATTTACAAATATATATAGCTATTATTTTAGAAATTTAATTAGGAAATCAAGGACTACGTAAAAGACGAGTAATCGCATTATTCCTTACGAATATTAATATATCTTTTAAAATATCGATACTTTCTTAGGTTGATTCATTGACGCAAATTTTCCAATATCATTCGAATTCGATTGATTGGACGATGTAGAATGATGCTTCCTATAAAATCGTTAATTAAAATTGCCATACGATATCCACAATTTCTTTCAATCACCTGCTGCTCACCTGCAAAGCCTGTCAAAAACGCTTCGAACGAAAGTCACGTGTTTCTGGATCTCCATCATCACATTGTCCAGTGTCTGGGCTACGTTCTTCACCTTCCTCAGCTCCTGTTCGTTCATCGATTCGATCCGAGAGACCGGAAGTCCTCGAGAAGGAGAAGACGCGTCGATTAGAAAAATACGAGAAAATACGATAAAATATCTCTCTTCGCTACGTTTCTTTTTTTTTTTTTTTTTTTTTCTTTTTTTCTAAATAATTACTCGAATTCTCCCGATTCTCGTTCTCTTGGCTACCCAATTGCTCTAACGAATTTGAAAGATTTCCCAGATTATCGTTCTTTGTTACAGGTTTGACGGAAGTCTGTGACACGCTCATCCCCATCATCTCGTTGATCGTATGATCTATGTTCTTCAACGTGACGGTTCCGTCTCGAACCAGCTCCATTAGGATCATGTTTAGCTCCTTGAACAATTGGGTCTGAAACATTAACCTTTTAATTAATCGCTACGATGATTCGTTTCTTTCCAAAAATATCCAATTTCAAAAAGAGAGAGAGAGAGAGAGAGAGAGAGAAAAGATGTAATCTTCGAGACTTGCCTCGTGTTGCACGAGATTGCTCAAATTAGGAAAATCCGTGAGAAATTTCTCGATCTCCTCGCTCCCCAATAGAACAGCCTGCTTGATCACGATGTCCTTGATGGCGTTCTTTAACTGAGAATCTTCATTTCCGGTGAACTCGCGGTCGGACACCCGATGAACCCTTGCGCTCCTTTGTTGATCGACCTCCGTTTGATTTTCTTCAGATGGAAGAAAGAGATGAAAAAGAAAGAGGAAAAGAAAAACAAAGAAAAAGAAGAAGGGACAAAATTTTCTCCCATTCTTCCATCTTTCCTTACACCTCAACCGTTAATACGTTAATCCTTATAATACCGTTAATCCTCTCTTACCTTTAGATTCTAATTTGGCAAAGGAACCATAATGTACCTACAACATTTATCGATCGTTATTTTCCATCGTTAAATTTCGTTTTCGAAAGCGAGAGTGAGAGTGAGAGCGAAAGAGAGAGAGAGAGAGAGAGAGAGAGAGAGAGTTTCTTTACTCACTTGTAGGACGATTAACAGCAACGTGATCGCGGAAAACTTCATTTTTTCATCACTTTCTTATCGCGGTGAAAACGGAGGACAGTCGATCGTCGATCGTCGGACGATAAGACGTTGCATGGAGTAATGACAAGTGCCGACAGGGCGATCGATTTTATAGCGGGCAACGCGTGCGGTTAAACACACTTCTGCTATGCAGTGTTTTCTAAACATCCCTCGCAAACATCCCGATAAAATCGAACTCCGTTATTCGATATGACGAATCGTTCTGAATAGTTACGTCGAGTAACCAAACGTTTTCGCGGCGCAAAAATTTTCTTTGATCGCGGCTCAATGAGTTTGGAATGAATGATCAACGGGCATGATCAATCATGCGTTCCAAACGAATTATAATTCCTTTACACAATAAAACAATATAACAAAATAATTTATTTCACGTTTCGTTAGGGATAAAAAAAAAAACGATCTTAAGCTTAACGAAGAATGCTTTCGATTAAGGTCATTAAAAAAGAGAGGCGTTTGATTCATTTTTTGTTACAAAAGTTTATTTAAATAATTAAAATAACACATTATATGTATATATAATTGAGCAACACGGTCTGTTGTCGTTGTCGAAAGAAAATTGACTATCCAAGAAGCCTGCTCATCGTCCAAAGCCTCTGTGAACGGAACGAGATAACTTGAAAAAAAATATTCTGCACGAACAATATACATACACGAAACATATGGAAGAAGAATGCGTACCCGGTCCTTGAGCCGGCGAAAGCAGCGCTTCCGAACGGGGAGCTAATAGCACCAGCGTGAGCGGAGCTGTGAGAACCTCCGAAGCCGCCTATGGGAAAGCCACCGTATCCAACGTATCCACCGTATCCGCCGTATCCACCGTATCCACCGTATCCACCGTATCCACCGAGTCCACCGAATCCACCGAAATGGCGGTGAGGATCTGGATTTGCCTCTCTGATCGGCCTCGATACTGGACTCTCCGGTACTGGAGCACAAAAAAATGTTTCTTATCTCTTTAAATATATTCGAAAGTTTCTTAAGCAATTGCCCCGAGGCTATTCGATTCACGAAATGTACATAAATAAATAATCGAAAGATTAACGAAAGAAGAGAGGAACGATTTCGATGACCACTTTAGGCAGGGAAGGTCGAAAGTAATTTTTACCCGACCGTTAAAAAGATCTTGCGGAGATTCACTAAACGATGAGTCAGATCGACAATAGTATATTTCGATCCCGTCGATGTGACGCGAAGCATGTTAATCATTTCACGTTCAAGAATATAACTATATACAAAGAGATATGCAAAGGAGAAGCTGTCATATGACTGTTAAACAAACACAAACGAAGGGGAAGGAAATAATACGAAGCTATCGATTCGAATAATTATCTTCGTACCTTTCCCAATTATAATATTTGTAATTTACAAAAAGGAAGAAAAAAAAATTTATTCGTTTATTTCTCTCAATTCAACTCAACTCTTGCAGGAATGCAAACGTTTTATCTCGATTATACCGTACCTTGTTCCCCGGGAACAGCGTCCTGTTTTGCGGCAGGGTGAACAGGGTATGCGATGGCGCCAGCCAACATCGTAACCAGAACGATTAGCGCGATCTTCATGGTTGAACGCTTTATCGGGAGGAAATAACAAGTTTACTGGACTAGTTAGCACAAGCTTCTTCGAGTTTCGAGTGCGAAGTGACGATGAGAAAATCTGGAGGGCGGCCTTTATATAGAAAGCGTCCCGATCGTGTTGGGATGTCCCGCCACGGTTTACGTAGGTACCAAACGGGTATTCTTGCCGAGGAACGGACGAATCTCATTAGCACGGACAACCTTTTCATTGTGTGAACACGGTTGGACACGGCTTAGCGTTTACCCAGCCGGTCATCGAAAGTTAAACAGCTGGACGACTATCAACGATGATCCAGCGATATTGCATCCCTACCTTTTCGTGCCACCAACCAGTTTCGTTTCGCTTCGATTATCGAAGGCGGATGAACTTGGTGGAGAGCTTTCTTTTTATTTCTTTTTTCTTTCTTTCTTTCTTTTTTTTTTTTTTTTTTTTTTTGGTGTATCTCCAAATATTTCTCGTCCAATTTCGCAACACCGAAATTAAATCACTTTTGATGATCAACGGATGTCTTATCTTGGGTTAATTTTTTTTAATAGATATTTCTCTGTAAGGTTTGTTTGGATGGATAACAAAATTTCTAACCTTTATTAAATTTTTCTTTCCGTATGATGATTATCCTATAATGAGGATCTTAATGCCTATAAAAAAAAAAAAGTTTGTTCGTTATTGAGAAATGTGACGAGTGGGAGAAGAAGGGGAAAGAATTATTGGTGAACAGATATTAATATATTTATTGTTATTGATAATTAATATATATTATTGTTATTGATAATATAATATATTATTGTTCTTCGATTTTGGTGGATTAGGAGGGAGGAAATCGAAGATTAAATTTTGTTTTAAATTTGGTCTTTATTTACAAAATATGGGTTAATATGTCGTTTCGTTTCCTTCACTTTTCGTCTTTTTTAATTCGTTGAACGGAAGAGTCGAATTTTATATCCTGATTTCTATTTAATTCTTTTATTTCGTATCGAGCAATCAAGGGGATTTAAACGCTAAATCGTACGATCAAATAAATTTTCCATTTTATTTCAAGTAGCGTCTTCTGTCTAGCTCAATACGTTGCGTAAAAGTGTTTTATTTGGTATTAAATTCTTGATTTTCGTCAAGGCATCAACATAAATACGAGACTACGTGGGTGGAAAATTTCTTGATGAAGCCGTTGATCGAGACGTTAAATTGAATTTTTTAGAAACGAGACGCACGTACGGAATATAAATTGAAAAATTCCCGTGAAAAATTATCATAATAATTTTATTACGCGTGGAAAGATTCTATGTGTACTGCGTGTTAATCAAGACTCGGGACTCGGGCTGGGATTCCCCGTACGGGCCGTCATTTTATCGTCGTATAACTCCTTCTTTCCTAACATTGGGTTAGAGCGATTATCTTCAGATTGAAGTGATAATCGATGCCATTGTATATATACGACATAAAAGTAAGAAAGTTGCTTTGGAAAAGTACAGCGGATAACGATCCTCGATCCCAAGTTAAAACTGAGAAATGGAAATTGCGCAAACTTGTCGAAAAAATTGATAAATCCTTGAAAACACTTTTGAAGGCCGAGACAGGCAACGCTTCCTGATGATTAATTTATTCAAAACGGAAGACGATTATTCAAAACGGAAGACTATCGTAACGCCATTTGATTTTTAACGCGCTGTAAAAATTTCTTTTAAACAGTGGAACTTTTTCTCGTTTAAACGTTATATCGATTTTTTATTCTTACATTTCTCGATTTTGTTTCGAAGAATCTCGAAGAAAAATGAATGATATTTTGCAGAATGAACGTATAATGCGCGTATAATATGAGAAATAGCGGAAGAATCGCTTATTCAAAATTATTCTTTCACGATCAAGATTCGATTCAAGATTTCGTGATATGAACGTAGGCATACTATTTCTCATGTCCTTCATTTTTGAACGAAAAGATTCCACAGTAGGAAGTAACTATACCACTCGATGAATCACACCAACGTTCTTTTTTTACCTATAGAAATATTTCTACCAAGCAACTAATAGCTTTATATATAATCTCAAGGTTTCGAAAAGAGTACGATGAATTCCGTTTAAAAGCTATCTAATTCGACTGTTTAGCGAATCAATTTGATCCGTTCAGAAGTGTCGCTTCCTCGAGTTTGTATTTTTTCATTTTTTTTTTTTAAACACACGTTAACACAGTTAAACGGAATTGCATCGATGGTAAAACCGATTTTATCTTACCACGATTCGTAGTTCGATGCTTTCAAGAGTATCAAATCGTCGAGTTCACGGCAAAAGAAATTACTTTGGTACTTTGTTTTGCACAATAATTTTTACACGATTAATGATATTATTAAAGGTGATACGATAAGTTACTTTGGACAAATATTTGGATGACTCGTTGGTAAAATTTGCTCGTAAAAAATTTTTTTTATTTGTTTTATTATCACCTCGAAACTAAGAAATTAAACTAAGTAATTAATGGTAAATAAAAGATTGGAAAGAAACATTGAAAGTTAATCGTAAACTCGATAGCATAAAGATATGGATAAATGTCTGTTAAAGGAAAGATAAAGCTGCGTAACGATGAGTGACGAGTTTTCGTTTCTTAGAAACGATTAGAGGGTGCGCATGGGTATGCCGTGTCGCTTAATGACCGCCTCTTCCAGAAACCAATGAACGGCAGGGTCAATGTTTAACGTCCTTGCCGGTGTCCAGTCACCAGCCAACTTTATTTTTCCTTAAGTCAGAGTTACGGATCTTGGAAGTAATAATAGTTGGTTCCATTGAAAATGTTCGAAACTCGATTTCACTTTGAGAATAAATTTATTTTCAACGTTTCTCTCGCGAAGAATCGAAGGGATCCTTCCTCCCGCTGAAAGACGATTCGATTACAATATTTTTTTACTGGAAATGAACGAGCTCTCCCCCTCGGTAAATTCTAGAAAACCTGTATTCGATTCGTTTACTTTTCAACACACTCTATGTAACGAACGAGATTAACTTCGATCGATACACTATACTCTTCGATGCGATGGCAGTTAGAACGATCATGCGAACCCTTCACTCTTTAATCTCTCCTCGAGGATGGTATAAAATATTGCACTAGTCCTTACGCTACGAAAAAAACCTAATTCCTATATATATTTATATATATATATATATATTCCCTTACAATCTACAAATTTTAAAATTACGAAATTACAAACTAAGTACATACGATTATCCACTTACTAATCATGATTAAGGAAGAATTGTTCAAAACGAATATACCGGTAAAGGGTAAGCACAATTTCTCTACCAACGTACCGTTTCGACGAAATTCTCGGCGATACTCACACAGGGGATGAATAAAATCGATTCGCATTATAGTTAAAATCTATAAAACGGAGCGTCCACTTCGGAGAGACGATTGCTCGATTGCTCGTACGGAGCGACGATGGGGGAAATAGAAAAGTGGAGCGCGTCGTCGTGGGTGCTCTCTCTCTTTCTTTCTCTCTCTCCTGTCTGCATGTTAATGTCCGATGGAATATTGATCTTAACGGTATCGATAGGTCGGACACGGCCAACACCGTGCCGTGCCCGATCGATCCCATTACGACGATCTACTCTTCGGCCACCGGTGTACGCCGCTTTTTCCTGTTGGGTGAAAATCGTTGGGTGAATACACGCGCACAGTGAAACGCGATATCACGTATGGCGAGATAACTATCCGCTATTTCGAATATCAAAATATCTTTTAGATCCTATCTCTTAGATCGAATCTTCTCTCTCTCTTTCTCTCTCGCGTATTTTTTTTTTTTTTTTGAAATAAATGCTTCTTTCTCGAAAAATATCGTCCGTAATTGAAATCTTACCCGTTGGGGGATCCACCGTAAGCAGTGGCGACCGAGCTCGCAACGCCGCCCTTCCCGGTGGAGTAACTGTTGGCGATCGCTGTTACGGCTCCGGGGGGGGATCCTCCGGAGGATCCAGATCGGCTGGACCCGCCGGGGAAGCTGAACACCATGGGGAAGAAGTTGTTCAGGTTCGGGTAGTTTTGCCGACGGCGACTCCCTTTGAAAGGGATGAAGGGGACGGATGGCTCGTCGTCGTCGTCCTCCTCCTCGTCGTCCTCTTCGTCGTCGTCCACCACGACCACCGGTGTCTTCTTCGTCTTCTTCCCATGCTGCGCCTTGGGACGATTCGGTTGGGACACTTCTGTGTTCGTGATCACTGGCTCCGCGGCTGGGGTCACCGCGGCTGCCTCGGTCGTGAACACGGGGACAGGTTCCGGTTCCGGTTGCTCCTGCGTAATCGTGTAATTATTTATTTGGAATTTTCTCTTTTAAACTCTTGTATGTCTGAATGTTCGATCGCGATTCAATGTTCGTTTTAGGGAATATTTTGAACATTTTGAACGTTTTATTCTCCTGCGTAATTATTCGATTATTTATTTCGAATTTTCTCTTTTAAACTCTTGTATCTGAATGTTTCGATTCGTTTTAGGGAATATTTTGAACATTTTGAACGTTTCATTCTCCTGCGTATTTATTCGATTATTTATTTGGAATTTTTCTCTTTTAAACTCTTGTATCTGAATGTTCGATCGCGATTCAATGTTCGTTTTAGAGAATATTTTGAACATTTTGAACGTTTTATTCTCCTACGTAATTATTCGATTATTTATTTGGAATTTTCTCTTTTAAACTTTCGCGTATCTGAATGTTCGATCGTTTTAGGGAATATTTGAAAAAAAAAGAGAAAAATATTATTTTATTTTCTTGCGTAATTATATAATTATTAATTTGAAATTTCCTCTTTCCAACTCTTGTATCTGAATGTTCGATCGTTTTAGGGAATATTTTGAACATTTTGAACGTTTTATTTTCCTGCGTAATTATTTAATTATTTAATTGGAATTTTCTCTTTCAAATTTTCTGAATGTTCGATCGTTTTAGGGAATATTTTGAACATTTTGAACGTTTTATTTTCCTACGTAATTATTTAATTATTTAATTGGAATTTTCTCTTTCAAACTTTCGCGTATCTGAATGTTCGATTGTTTTAGGAAATATTTTGAACATTTTGAACGTTTTATTTT